TCCGTTTCAGCTCCCTTTCTGCCCAGGGATCAACGGGAAATACCGCTTAATGGTGCAAAAATAAAGCTTCTCCTATGATGCTCCTGTTAAGGCAATGCAGGGGCCTCGGAGTGTGTACTGATGCTCAAGAAATTAAGAATACGAGATTAACAACTACAGCTGCTTGCGCAGGAGGTTTTCTGTGGGTAAAGGGTTGGGTTTTCAGCCCCTTCTTACACATTGATACAAGTTCATAACTGACTCTTTCTTCACTGTCTTGACGCTGCTTTTTGGAGCTTTGAGCCACCCGTTTGAACAGACTCCTAAAGCACAGAGCATGTTGACTCTGTAGTCCTCGACTTCCCTTGCTTGCTGAAGTTTTTGTCAGTAGTTTGAGCTGTAATCTTGTCACCTTCTCCTTGACAACTGTAGTATCTTTCTGGTGGTGTAGAGGATGCTGGGTGCATTTATTTAACATGAAATGTCTAAAGTCATCTGCCTAAAAACCTCAGTCCGAGTTTCTGTGTGGACCTTAAATATTTATTTGTATTCTCTATCTTCTTTTTGTACCAGAAGTCTGTTTTCTGTAATCTCATTCCTGTGGCCATGTACCATTAATAGTGCTATTTGATGTTCCTTTGCAATCCTTTACTTTTCTTCTCTTTGCTACCTTTCTGATAAAGCCCAGTCTTTGAGCCCTTACTCCGTACAGCTTTATTCTTTTCTATTGTGCTTCACCTTGTTACTTGATTGTTTTGGTCAACCTTTACCACTGAACCCATGTTGTCTTCCATTGGGGACGTCATTTGCAAGGAAGTAGATTGAACAACTAAAAGATACTCAGAAAAACAAAAAAGTTATTATCATTGAGTGTTTGTATTACCGCGTATGTGCACCATCTGTTGTGACCTTTATCCTGGTTCATAACCAGTCAAAGCATATAATTGTGCAAGCACAGTAAAAACCTGATCCTTGCCCCAGAGAGTATTCAGCCTAAACGTAAATGAAATGGCAATAGAAATACAAAAAAGAAACCCAGAGACTTGCTGAATGTTTTTCTTGATTGTCACAGTGCATCACGAGTCTGATCTCTGTCTTCCTTAGTAGAGAGCTTATGCCAGGTTTTAATTTAAATGGTAAACTCTACAAAGCAGCTGCTTCAGATCCAGTAGTACCAAAATACATAACCACGCAGCTTTATATAAAATTGCTCATATGGCTGAAATGTATGGAAGGTATCACTGGCAGTGAGGGAGCGAAGGCTCCAGGAGTAGTCTGCAATCAGCTTTCAGGATTGCTCTGTGGTGTTTAAAAAAAAAAAAAAAAAAGAAAAAAAAAAGCATTGAGCAAGTGGAAGGCTGGATTCCAGGGAGACCCAGCACTCGCTGCTAGCTTGCTTCCTCCCATGGTCAAGTTTCACTGCTGGTGATGTGATTTGAAAAGGCAGTACACAGGAGAAGTCAGGGACAGACTGCGAAGGAGGGCTTTAGAAACATTGCCTGGGTATGGATGGATGGTGCTAGGAAAGCCAGAGTTCAGCTGGAGTTGAGACTTGGAGCGGATGTCAAGAACAATAAGAAGAGCTGCTGTTGGGACATTAGTAGTGAAAATATGAATAAGGAAAAATGTTGGGTCATTGCTAAATGGTCATTTAGTGGTGATGGACACAGATAAGTCTGAGGTATTCAATACCTTCTTTGCCTCAGTCTTCACCAACAAATTCTCCCAGGCCACTTTGAAGTCAATCATGGAGTGAATCCTCTTGGAAAATATTTCTCATCACGTGAAGGAGAAGGCAAGCCTGGATTTATGTATGGTAAATCATGCCTGACCAGCCTGATTGCCTTCAGTGATAAAATGACTGGGTTTGTAGGCAGCAGGAGAGCAGAGTATGTAATTTACCTTGACTTCAGCAAGGATTTTGACATTGTATTCTTGTATCCAAGTTAGGGTGTTACGGGCTGGAGGGATGGACAACTAGATAAGTAAAAAAAAGGTTGAATGGTAAGGCTTATAGAGGGTTGTGATTGATCAGACATACTATACCTGGAGGCTGGTAACAACTGGACCACTGCATGGGTCTATCCTGTGACCTGTCCTGTTTAAAAATCTCTAGCAGTGACCTGGAGGAAATGTCAAAGTGCATTCTGATTAAGTGTGCAGGTGACAGCAAACTGGGGGAATCGGTTAATATACTTGAGGGCAGAGCTGCCACTCAGAGGGACTTAGACGGGCGAGAGGGCCAACAGGGACCTTACGAAATTCAGCAATGACAAATATAAATTGCTGCACCTGGAAAGGAGGAACGCCTTGTGACATAGAGGTGACAGTGCAGGCGACTGGCCGACTGGAGAGCAGCTCTGCCAAAAAGGGCCGTGAGGGCTCTCGGTGGACAGTGAGCTGAACGTCAGCCCGCAGTGTGCCCCCACATAGCAGCATCCCGAGCCGTATTCGCAGGAGCGCGGCCAGTAGATCAAGGGGAGCGATTATCCCTCTGCTGCCCAGCCCCAGGAGACCGCATCTAGGTACCGTGTCCAGTTTGTGGCTGCCCGTGCAGGCAAGGTGTTCGTCAGCTGAAGGGAGTTCAGTAAAGGACTAGAAGACGGTCAGGGGCATCTCCACCCCTGGAGTTTTTCAAGACTTGAGTGGGTCAATCCCTGAGCAGCCTGGCCTGGGCTCGCAGCTGACCCTGCTTGAGCAGGAGGTTGGACTGGGGGTCTCCTGAGGTCCTCCCCAGCCTGAGCTGTCCTGTGATGGTGTAAACCCCAGGGGAACTGCACTGGCTACGCTCACAAGCCTCATTCAGCCAAAGAGTTCGAAGTTAACCATTTCTGCTGCTCTCCATTTATGAGCAAATTGGTGTACATCGCCCCGATTTCTGACAGTTTTTCCTCTTTGCAAAGCTTTGTGTTGATTTTCTTGATGAGTTTGAAGAGAACAGCCACTAACCTACCTTGATGCAAATAGTCTTTTGCTCCTAGTCAAAGATGAGAGGACAGCACGTAGTGTATTGTTTAATCAAATAAATGAGGAAGGACTCCTTACTTAATAGATCTACAAGTTAGAGGTAGATGAAGGAATCTGTTTTGGTTTCTGTGTGGAACGGGAAGTTAAATGAACACTAATTCCTGTTTCAAACAGTTTTCCTGCTGCAAATGAGGGGTATTTTTGTACCCCTTAAAGCAGCAATTTCCTTCTGTGACTTCGCAAAGCATGTATCAGTTTTAGTCAGGTGAAAAGGTATTTTTTGCTTGTGTGTATATGATTGTTCCTGTGGGGTAGGAAAAGCAGATCAGGGGAATAAAGCAAGCTAGTTCCTACTGTACAGAATGCACCTTCAGGAAGATACTGGAATTATTGCTAAGGCAAACTGCGACAGAATATAGCCCATATAACTAAGGAGAGGGATTCTTCATGTTTTGGGACTTGCTTCTTTTCCTTTTGCAGTGTCTTCCAGAGCCCATAAATTCTAGCTGACGTGTGCCACTTGTCAGTCAAAGCTGCATCAAAATAATGAAAATGTGACTTGTTGCATTTATATTTTTTGATGGTTTTCCTCTCAAATGAGACATATAATAAAATCCTGGTAATGTGTTTAATCTCTGTTGTTGAAGTGTAAAGAGAGTAAAGCATCATTCTGCTTTATTTTCCAGTGGCTTTGAAACGTATGCTGAATTTCAATGTTCCTCCTGTTAAAAACAGCACAGGAGAGCCAGTATGGAAGGTAAGAACTATTTGAACAGGAATAGGTGGATTTTATAGTGTTCAAAAAAGTTCAGATTTTCAAATTTTAACTAACTTGAGTATCTTCTCTATGTTCTTAGCTTGTACAAAATATTTTTTCCTGTGTGTTACAAATACACAGAATTGAATATCAGAATTGCTGACAAAAAATACATATTTGAAATATTGGCTTCTTGAAGAGCCAATGACTGATGAGGAGGACATTTTTGGAATATACTTAGGTCTCCTTGGTGCCTGTTGGCAGAACCTTACATGATACCTTACAGGTGAACTCACAGAGTCAGAAAGAAGCCCATAGAAAGGGAAGAACTATTGATAGCCTTAAATTTAGGACAACTGAGCTCAAGCTACCTTTATTAGCTTTAAAAAGTAAGTAATTTGAGAGAAGTTTTTGCTACTACAAAGCATATATTCTCTTTCTTCATCCATTCTGTTGTCTTTTTTTTTGCTAGTTCATTTTTTTCCTTTCTGCTTCTCCTTTTATTTCCTCCCAAATGCAGTCAGAGAAATTCTGCGCTTAATAGTAACAAATTTATGACAGCAGATTTGTGTTTGACTGACACTTTTCAGGAGATGGAAGTGATGAATTTATTTCCCTTTATCACTGAGTTTCTTTACACTCTTTTTTTTTTTTTTTTTTTTTGGTATCAGTAAGCACAAATGGAAGTCCATGACAAATTAATGATACATTATAAATTGGTAAATGTTTAGCACTTTTCAGGTTAGGACAGTAGTTCCTTAAACCTGAATTCCTGTATTGACTGTATCCTGTATTCTACTGTATCCATTTTTTACACCACTTTATAAAAAGATGCGTATCTGTTTCAGGTTCTCATTTATGACAGATACGGCCAAGATATAATCTCACCTTTGCTGTCAGTGAAAGAGCTGAGAGATATGGGGATCACTTTGCACCTGTAAGTAAAAAAAATGAGGTTGGGGGGGGTTTTTTTGCTAAAAAGAACTTTATTTAATATTTCCCCAAAATCACAAAAAAACCCCATTGAAAATCATTTGATGAATAACTACTAAAATACAGATTATACCCTGACTTGTTTCTAAAATCAGGTGGTATTATTCAGGATCAGGGAGTGGAAAAGTCATTCCAAACATTGTTCAGTAGGATTTTGTACTAAATAGAGGAGGCCCCTGCTCAAAAATAAGAATTATCCAATAGGTGTTTTGGGGAATCTGTCTGTACAATTCTCTTTGTATTCACATATCTTAAAATTATTTTGGCGCTAACTCTTTCATGGGACTGTGCATATTCTCTGCTTGTCTTTTTTGCATATAGATTTTAATTGTCTCTTGTCGAAGATATGGAATCTTTAAGTGTTATTTTAAGAGATGTCCCATTTCTCTTTCTCCAGGTTATGTTTATTTAGTTCACTGTCATTCCTTAGCTGTGGTAATAGTCATGGAGGATCTTTGAAGATACCTTTATTTTTTTCAAAAGTTTGTTAACTTTTACTAAGTGAAGGCTAGAAATGGAAACACAGTTTAACATGTTGACATAACAGCAGAAATGTGAGAGAAATGTGGAAGCGCCTTGCCTGTCTTTGTTTTAACGAGCAGGAAAGGCAAGTTTAATAGTATGATATATGCAGGTTTTTTGTTACCAATTAAAAATTGGTATATGAACTTTGTGGATGCAGTATTTTACGTTCCTCTGAATGGATTAATCTATTTTTGAAGATTTGCAAAGCCTTTTCTCATGCTTTGAATAAACTTCGGAGACCTCTATTAATATTAAAAATTATACAAATATGATTTTTCATTTTTTTCGTGTTTTGTTCTTGCTAAAATCTAGCTAAATATAGGGAGAAATTGTAGGAAATTAAATATGTCTGCATAAATAAAATATAAATGAATATAAATTTCTTTAACTTTTATAATTTTACACAAATCAGAGGAGGAACACATTAGAGATGTATTTTTTCTTCCTTTCAGGCTTTTGCATTCAGATCGGGATGCTATTCCAGATGTTCCAGCTGTTTACTTTGTAATGCCAACAGAAGAAAATATTGACAGAATGTGCCAGGTAACTTGCATGCTTAATGTTTCAAATGAGTGGATGCAATAGAGGTAGAGCATGTGAAGTAATCCCGCACTCACTGGAGTGTGACCATTCTATATCTGGTTCTTGTGCATGTCTGAACACCTTTGCTTGCATTTTTTATATATTAGCACCTATTTGTTGTAAAAATACTACCCAACATTTTTACATGCAAAACTTAAATTTCCCAGAAAGTAAAAGGGTGAATATGTCTTCTGTGTTTTGGAGAGAGAGTTTTGGAAGTGAAAAGACAAGAGGCAGTGGGCACAAATATAGGCAATTCCATTTAAACATAAGAAAAAGCTATTTTAATGAGGGCGGATGAATGCTGGAACATAATGCCTGGAGAGTTTGTGGGGTCTCCATTCCTTGGAGGTGTTCAAAACTTGGCTGGACACAATCCTGAGCCACCTGCTCTATTTGACTCTGCTTTGAGCAGGCAGGGTTGGACTAAGCTAACCTTAGTTTTTCATATCCTCTGGGAGGAATTGACAGAAGGTTAACATCTTCACCAAAGGAAGGAAGAAGAGCAAAGGGTACTTTTGGTCAGTGGTAAAGCGTGGAGTAGTAGTTGCTATCTGGTTGCTTAAATTTCATTTCCTGGTTTTTGCAGTTCTGTGTTAGGTTAGTTATATCTAGTTATGCAGTCAAAACACTGTGTACAGGGCTGTATGAACAGACAGCTAAGCAATTTCAAAAATTTAGTTTGACTGCGGGTAACTGAAACATCACATAGTAAAAGTAAGAATGTTTTTTTAATTAGTCAGAAATATATTTGTACTTATTCAGGAAAAAGGTTGTGGTTCTCCTTCCTTTTAGGATCTTCGAAACCAGCTTTATGAATCTTATTATTTAAACTTTATTTCTGCCATTTCAAGAAGTAAACTGGAAGATATTGCAAATGCTGCCATAGGCGCTAATGCAGTAACCCAAGTGGCTAAGGTAAGAAAATCCCCCAGTCTCTAATGTTAAAGATGCTAGCATTACAGGTGTTATTGCATTCTTACATGGCCACTTCAGTGCCATACACAGCTTTTCTGACTGAATCATGAACAAAAGTAAGTGTTTAGCTAGATTCAATATCAGGTGTAGATTTACTGGGGGTGGGGGAAGGGAATTTGCAGTCATCTCAGTAATGCAGCTTAGTACTATACTTCAGCTTAGTCAAAAGTACAAGTGCTGCAAGACCTTTGTGCTAAATGATAACAGGGGAAATACAGTGGTTTCAGAGTATTCCCAATCTTGTCAGCTCAATGAGTGCATCCAGTGCATGTATAATGGGGTGAGGTTTTTAGCTCCTAAATACACGAAAAGTGCAGTATGAGTGCAGTTGTCATTTTAAATAGGCAGTGTACTGTAGAGGTGGATGTTTCATACATACACACTGTTATTCAGTACACTCCTATACCTTTATGATTTAAAGGCAGGTGTCAGGTATGTACCCACTTATTTTTGTTGAATGCCTCTACCAAAATCTGCAAATTACTAACTAATTATTTTCATATATACTTAAATACATTCACTTTTTCCCACTCCTGTTAGGGGGTACTACTGGCATGAGAGAAAGAAACTGTGGTGAAATGAAATGAAAACTACCAGTATTGTTTAAGCCTTAGGTCTTCAGCAGG